TTTGCAGTTTTTAACACGAAGCGCTTACAATGTGCGCATCCGGTGTGCAGAATGATGCACTTGAAGCAACACGGCTGACACACCGAATGTGCACATTGTAAGCGCTTTGTGCTGATAGACTGTATAATATACATAGGCCTATATTTTTTCATATTTATTGTTTATTTTTTTTATATTTTTTTAAATATATAAAATATAAAATATATTTTAATATAGTCTGTATCTAGTAGATTGTGAAAGAATGATTATCAGTTCCACACACAGAGATATATAAATTCTACATTTATTTAAATGAGGGGAAAAAACTTCACTAGGTATCAGAATCGGTATCGGAGGCGAAAAAGGTGGATCGGAGCATCCCTAATCTGGTTGGCCATTGCATTCCCGAAATCAACAGCTCAGTCTGTGATTGGCTACATTGTGCAACCTTTTAAACACGTGTTATAAATAGAAACTCTGCCTAGCTTGCGCGTGTTAATCACTTTAATGTTATTAGTTGTTCTTTTTGCTTTTGTGCAACACATAAATAACAATTTATATGTTTTAGACATTTTATGTTTAGATCATTTCTATTTTGCGGGAGTCCCGGGCCGGAGTGGGACTCATTTTCAGCCCTGGAGTTTCATGCCTTAGACCGGCCCACTTTGTTTTGTTTTTTTTACTGGCCTTTTCAGTGCTTTTCAAGCTCTTTGCGCTTTCTATTATAAATTTTTTATCTATTATTTTTTGCTCTCATATCTCCAACAATGACTTTTTTTTTTTTCGCTGTCAGGGGAGTCAAAAGATAATTACATCATTGTCGAATGAATGAAAATGCATATTTTTCAATTAAAGAAAACTTGTGGGCTGCTTCTGGTGCTTGGATTTTTACTTCAATAATGAGGTCCAAGTTTAAGAATAGCCTACGCTATAAGTATTTATTTTATTTTATTTTATTTTTATTTATTTTTTTTGTAATGCATTTTTTGCCTCTCTATTTAACAGCATTAACTTACAATGAAAGACATTTGTTATTATTATGGTCTGGTGAAAATAATAATATGGGCTGCGAGAAAATTATAAATAAAAAGAGTGGGGCTGCTATGAGTGCAGGCAGCCTAGGAACAGCATAGTTCAACCCATTGGCATGATAACACCGGCCCTCGCGGCCAAAAAACAGACCGGCCCACCGGGAATCCTCCCGGTGCTCCCGATTAGCCAATCCGGGCCTGCTCGCCCATCAAGAGTTGTCCTGCGCTGCACCCTGTTGCGTTGGGTCCCGCGGTACTCCTACGGGATTGCAGGTCTCTAGTTCAAAGTCCAAAGCGTGAGGAAAATCTGTGCTGAACAAGTGTTACTCGTCAGTTGTTCAGTCACATTTTTATGAATTTTTACAAGGCATGTGACAATGCGATACGTACGACGTATTCGTAATGAGACTCATTTATAAATCTGCTTTTGTCAACAAAAAGAAGCATTGAGGTGTTCCTGCACGTTTCCGCCAAAAGAAGAGCGAGAAAGAGCAAGAACTCCATCAACATTCATAAACGTTAGTATTGTAATTTTACTGTTGTTCTGTAAAATAAAATAAAAAGTAAGACAATAATAATGATAATAATCATTACAACAGCTATGTTAATACATGTATTATAACATTCACACATAGTGTTCAAATTAGTGTGTTAATACATGTATTATAACATTCACACATAGTGTTCAAATTAGGATCTGTTATATTTTCTAATGTTTTAAAAGAAGTCTCTTCTCAGCAAGGCTGCTTTTAATTGTACAGTAAAAAATACATGCCTGATTCAAGGAGGGGGTCTGATGGTCAAAAAAATATTATTTTACTAACTTTTAAGCTAAATTGTGCTTTGTTGGTATAGTGTCTGCTAGAATGTAAAAAATGTTCAGAGTTAAATATTTTTAAATTGTTTTGTAATTAATTTTTTTTCTTTGAAGAGCCAGACAATACAGTAAAAAGCACATTTTGGCTATTTAATTTAAGCAATGGTGAAAAAAAATTGTCAAAATACATGGGGAAAAAAACTTGTAAAACCGTGTTCGGTATTCGGCCTTCGGCCCAGTGTTTCATTTTGTTCGGCTTCGGCCAAGAATTTTCATTTCGGTGCATCCCTAGTAATTGTAACTTTATTATTATAAAAACTTAAATGTGTGTAATTTTAAAGGGGTCATATGATGCTACATGCACTTTTACAAGTTGTTTGAACTGAAATGTGTGTTGGCAGTGTGTGTACACAACCACCCTAAAATGATAAAAATCCACCCAGTGTTTTTTTTTTTTTAAATCTGCTCAAATCTTTACCCCTTTCTCAAATCGAGCTGATCTTAGATGGCTGTCTGTGTGATGTCACAAAAACAGGCCCCTCCCACGATAGTTTGATTGACAATAGAGTTTCAGCACAGACTGGACTGGCGTCTTACCTTAGACCCGCCCTGGGTGAGCTGTCATCAGCCACCATTGTATTACAACTGGAGCAGATGTAGACAAGAATGACTCCTAATAAGCGATTGAGGTGTTCTGTTGTTGGATGTAATAATGAACATAGCAGTAGTCATTTACTCCCGACATCTGAAGACGCAGTGGTTTAACTTTGTTTCTGAAGGGAATGCGCCCCCGATCTACATAAATGCGTCTATGTTCACGCGAATCATTCATGATCCAGCCTCATCTACAGAAGAAGTGAGTTTTCAAATCGAGCCGATCTCAGATGCCTGTCTGTGTGACGTCACACAGACAGGCCCCTCCCACGATAGTTTGATTGACAGTAGCGTTTCAGCACAGACTGGACTGGCGTTTTACCTTAGCTCCGCCCTGAGTGAGCTGTCATCAGTCCGCCATTGTTTCACCGCCGGAGCAGATGTAGACAAGAATGACTCCTAAGAGATTGAGGTGTTCTGTTGTTGGATGTAATAATGAACATAGCAGTCGTCATTAACTCCCGACTTCTGAGCCGCTGAAGACGCAGTGGATTACATTTGTTTTTGAAGAGAACGCGCCCCCGATCGACATAAATGCGTCTATGTTTGCGCGATTCATTCGTAATCCAGCTTCACCTACAGAAGAAGTGAGTGTAAGGTTTTTTTAATGAATATTTGCAAATTGCCTTTCCTAATAATTTGCTAATTAGCAAGTTTCACAATGAATGCGGCTAAAGTAAACAGTCCCTCAGAGAGCAGCTCGGAAGAGAGGGGCGGGGTCAGCATAGCTCATTAACATTTAAAGGACAATGCTACAAAACTGCGTGCTCTGAAAAGAGCTGTTTTTGACAGGGTGAACAATTAGTTTTTTACACTACCATTGAGAAATTTTAACCAAGCTATGTTACAGACTTTTCATTAAGGCCCTAAAGAATCATATCAACTTGTGGAAAATGGGCATCCTATGACCCCTTTAAGTGTTTGTATATAAATCAGTTAATTTTAACCTTCAGTATGTAGTACCAGCTGACTCTCATGTACATTTTATAGCATTAGTTGAGAGATTTTGTTTTCCGTGAGAAAATTTGGCATGTACTGTACCTGATATATATACAGAATAATCGAAATTGAATCGAAATGAAAGCTCGTGAGTCCGAAGAGAATCGAATTGTGAAATTTGTCAAAACCCAGCCCTACTATCTATAAATTCGTTTTTTTGTATTTTTTATGTATTTAAAAAGTAACTTTTTAATTATTTATTTAATAGTATTTATTTGACTTTGTCTCTCATTTATTCACTTGAATATTGCACATGAATATTGCTGGTGGTAGTTCCTGACCAGTAAAAGCCATGTATCATCAATCAAGAAGAGCTTAAAGGGGTCATATGATGCGATTTCAAGTTTTCCTTTCTCTTTGGAGTGTTACAGGCTGATTGTGCATAGATAAGATCCCTGAAGTTGCAAAGACTAAAGTCTCAAAACCAAAGAGATATTCTTTATCAAAGTTAAGACTCTGCCACGGCCCCCTAAAATGGCTCGTTCTAACACGCCCCCACATATCTACCTCACTATGTGAAAATATTTGAATAATGCCGCCCAAACGTTCATGCAAAGAAAGAAGGCGTGGTTTCAGGAACAGCAGTTAGTGTTGAAGCAGCCATGTCAAGGAGACGCTGTGTGTTTCTAGGCGAAAGCAAAAGCACTTTATTTGGCCTTCCAGAAGTAGATGCATTTAGGAATCTTTAAAATTACTTACAACAGAACAGCAATGCATTTTATGGACGACCGTTTCGTGAACCTAGGAGAGGAGGTAATTCTGACTTTGCTATGACAATCTGGCAAGGAGGGGGCTTTGTAGAAAACGAAGCGTTTGAGAGAGGCGGGGCATAGAGGACCTACAATAATGTACAGTATTTGAAAAATAATGTGTTTTTTGAACATTTAAAGCATGTCAACATATTCTGTTACACCAAATACACAAAATAATGATCTTTAAAAAAGCATCATATGACCCCTTTAAAACCTGTACTTCGGCCTGTCTGGATTCTGTTAGGAAATGATAGTATTCCTGCAGACAGATGCATTTTTGAGGTTTATGTAATGTCTATACTTATTCTTGAGCTCTGCTGTACAGATCCCTACTGTTGTCTGCTCTGTTAGTAGTCATTTACTAAATTATGTTCATTCCAAGAATAGATGATCTCGGATAAATTCATCTTCAGCTCTAATGAGGTCATGCACCATGTATATCTTCTCAGACCACAGAATTCAGTCATTGTCTCAAGGATGCTGCATTACACAGGCTTTGAGCTATAAATCCTATAGGGGTATCAGATCCAAACCATGCGAAAAGAGCATCCATCCACACATTTACTAAAGAAGCTGATTGTGCAAATGACTCCTTTTGGAAATAATATGCGGCATGTTCATTACTGTTTGAAAGCATTATCTTTTCTGCTCTTCTCAGGCCCAGCCTGTGGACTACAGATCACTTCCACTGGCCCCACATCCATTGAGAAAGCCAGTGGACAGACTGTGAAGCTGGACTGTCAGTATACTCTCGCTGCTGAGGATTCTGGGCCTCTGGACATTGAGTGGAGCCTGCAGCCCTCTGACAACCAGAAAAAAGAGGAAGTGGTGAGTAGACAATGTGATGGTGTATCAGGTTATGAGATATGGTTAGTGTCTGTGTGAAAGAGACTGTTTCTTTATGTGCTTGGGGAAAACATATTTGATGTCTGCATTATTCAAAAGCCTCTGGGAGGTTTAGTTTGACTTTGTCCCTTGTGCTCCATCGCCTCTCTTCCTGTCAAAAGTTCTTGTTTTCAGCAAAAACACAAACTCTCAGAACTAGTTTGACTGCCTCTGTTGTGCAAAGCAACACAGTAACATTCCTACTGCACATTCATCAACAACCACACTTGTACACAGCGTTCTAGCTAGAGTTTTAAACAACATCAGAATCTAACCAATCAGAAGCTATATGATTTTTATTTTGATGTTCACACACAAGCAGCTCACGATCTGGTGGTTTCAGTGTCACAGAGGTTCGAAGGAAATCTTTGCATCTATGAGTTTGGGTCACTAAAAACATGCAATTGGGAATGCAACATCATATTCACAAACTTGTAATTAGAGGCGCTTATAAACTGGCTGTTATCAACAAAAGAGGAGCTTTAAGGGTTCCTTGTGGTCTTCCATCAAAATACAAGCTTAATTGATTTAACATTTGAAAATGGAGAAATTAAGAGACATAAACACTAGTATTGTAATTTTATTGATAAATTATTATTAGAAATAGTTTTTTTTCCTTAAAGACTTTGTTACACTTAAATATAATGATAGTAAAATGTATTTTATTTATATTTAATATTTATTATTATTATTATAATAATTATTATTTTCTAGTCATTAATATATAATCAAACAATTTTTGGCCACTAAATGGGTTGCAGTTTTTATCAGAAAACCAAACTTCGAATCCCAAATGATTAAACAGCAATATTTAGTGAGCATCCCACTTAAGATCTGTTTAGAAATCAAGTATTGGAGGTATTTGCATGTGATTGTCCTTGAAGGTTGACCATTCATTGTACATTTTACCTGCTTTGAGCTGCAGCAAGCAGGTTCTGGTTTGTGAGCTCCACATCTGTCGGAGGGAAACGCAGCTCACCACATTGGGTGTTTTATGAACGTGTCGTGTTGTTTTAGTGCTCTGTAAAGTTGCTCCCTGGATGGATATGTGTGTGGCTTTACATTAAGGGTCTAGTTTTACACACATGGATGTGCATTTGAATTTTATTGGTTTTGGCAGAAGTTAGTTGATTGATTGTTATGTATTGATGTTTTGTGTGTATGTGTCTAAGCGCTTTCACTTCTCTATGAATTGTGGTCTGCAGAGGCACTGCTTTTTCCCCTGTGTCCGCACAGGTGCTATCTCTGTAATATAGACCGTAATTAAACTGTCTCTCACTTCTTACAAAAGGCAGATTTTTGCCCCAACACTAGACTTGCAGGTAGAGTAAGCAGCCAGATATATGTGTGCTTGTCTGCTGCAACCCCTTCATGCAGAGATTACCTCATACTCTTTCTCTCCAGAGATTATGCATTTAGCTGGGGACAGAATTGGGTCAGGAGCCCTCAATGGTCGATCTCCCTTTGGTATCCTTGCACCTTTCTTCCTATCTCTCTCTCTCACACATGCTCTCTCTCTACTCCATCTTTTTTCTTCTCAAAGCTCCTTCATTTCTTCTGTCGTTCTACACCTAATTTTTCATTCTATTTTTATCGTTCTCCCTTTCTCCTCACATTTCTGTTCCCCTCAATTGCTCAGTTTGCTGTTTGCTGGGTTGTCCTCATGGGTATAGACCTGCACTCTTCCCCCTCTTTTCTACCAGGCTTTGCCCCAGGACTTGAAATTTGTCTTTGACCCACTTCATCGTTTTTAATGGTTTATAAGAAGTTGAAGGTTGGACACGGGCTACTTCAATTTTTGTGTATGTGTTTTGGGAGATATTCCTAACATTTATTATGCCCCAGTTCTTTGGAATGCTTTTTCACAGCATTGTGCTCTTGCTTTTGCAACTATTTTTACAGTATCTAGCTACATAGTTACATTTGGTTTCGAATGGCAAACATGGCCTGCATATAGTAGTATTAAAATATTTTGATGGCTTTCTTGTATAATCCGTGAGAAAATTTGGCATGTACTGTACCTGATATATATACAGAATAATCGAAATTGAATCGAATTGAATCGAAATTAATAGAAAAACGTTATATAAAGTTGTATTATTATTATATATACCCTTGATTTTTGGCTCTTCCTTCACTGATTGGCCTTGAAAAGCTACTAAATGAGAGAAAAAACGAAAGAGGAGTTATAAACAAAGACCAACTGACTTGTCAGTGTTTGGTCTATCTTAGACACATCCCTTTTTCATCTCTCACTTTTGATCCAAGATAAAAGAAGAGGGCTTGGCACTACACAAACACACAAGGCTGCCTTTTGTAGGAAAATACATTTTCCCCTGTATTCAACAACAGTTCCTATATTTTGAGTGCAAGAACTAAAACAATGACTCAACCTTGAATGCAGAACCCAATTTCCAATGATCGTATTCATTGTGAAGGTCTTTGGGACACAGTGAAGCGTGAATGATTCTCTTGTTTGTGGGACGCTGTTGACAAGTTGTCGAATTCCATACCAAACTGCATTGTCATTAGTGTTAGCATTTATATTGAAGAATGGATGGGAATTGGGGGTGACACTTACTGTACATGCATTGTGGCTCCATAATCTCTTACATGGCACCAGCAATTGCACAATAGCCACGCTGTGATTGAGTCTGAGAGTGATAATGGGAAACGCAAAACAAAAGGATTATTTAGAAAATAGAAGTAAACATGCAGGGATTTTATCATTGCTTTTTTTTACATATAAAAAAGGAGATAAGATTGTTTTGCATGACCCCAGTTGCTGTTTTTGCATTGATTGGAACATTTGTGTTTTGATGTCTGTATCTGTGAGTCAGAGAAAAGGTGTTCTAGTTCATTTGAATAGTTTAATTCAACATGAATTGCCATTTGCTATTAATTATAATGACATACACTGCCATTCACAAGTTGAGGGTGTGTTTTTTTTTTTTTTGGAAATGTCTCTGATGCTCACAAATGGCTCATATTATGAAATACAATTTTAAAATAAACTGTTTTCTATTTGAATATATTTTAAGTTGTAATTTATTCCTGTGGCGTAATTTATACCAACACTGTTAAAAAGATTCAAAAGTACAGCATTTTGTTTGAAATGGAAATATTTTGTAAGATAAATTACTTTACTTTTGATCAATTTAATACATCCTTGTTGGAAAAAAGTATTAAATTCTTTTTTAAAAAATCAGTAATTCACAATATGTTGGAAAAAAGTATTAAATTCTTTTTAAAAAAATCAGTAATTCACAATATAAAAGGTAGAGGACCTTGTTTTATCCATCTGGAATAAAAAAAAAAAAAAAAAAAGTTGCATAAAGTGAGTTTGCTAAAGTAATGCCTAAATAACATTTTAACTAACTACATTAACATTTAAAGATATTTCAGGGAAATGGCAACTGGCAAGTCACTACATTTGTAAATACAGATTACAAACAAATTTTCTTTGGACCAGGAATGTGCATTTAAATAAGTAAAATAAGGTACTTTTTAGTACTGTATGATTAGCAATGTAAAGGCTGTGGTGGTTGGCATGCACTAGTTTCCAGTAGCAGATACTGTGGGTCAGAGCAGCATCTGTGGTTGTGCAGTGAGGTTAGACACTGATGTAGACAGGCAGGCCTACAGAAACTGCCTGGGCTGTAAAGCAGACTGATCTCTAACACAGGTGACTCAGTGCTGCTTTGCATTTCAAACAAGCCTGATGTGGCCCTGGAGGAAGTGCATATACCTACAGGCATACGCATACACACTCAAGTCTAAACAAGATGCACAAGTAAACATATGCACACTTTGATTTTTACAAGTGACACTGTGTCCTTGACTTGTAGATGGCGGTGAAACTGCACACTAACTAACAATGGTTAGTCTTAACTATGGAGGGTGTCCAAGTCATCATGAAACTAAAATAGCATATATTTTCTTCTGTGTTGTAACGTACGTCTGAGTGTAACAGATTATTGAAAAATAAAGAATATAGGGCAGGAATTTGGTTCTGTCCATCAGTTGTGTCGTCTCTGATTTTAATTTTGTATCTTTTGTTCTCTGCCTTGAGCAGACTTTGTTTTGACTTTTTGAATTGAAGTACGTTATAGTGCCTGTATGATGTTGCTTCAGGCAGTTGCTCTTATCCCTTTTTTATTATATTGTAGTTATTATGTTTGGACATGGAGTGATTTATAGACATCGTTGGCTGTTTCCTTGAAATCCTGTTGGCAGACTCCAGGTGGCATGGATTAGGCCTGCTTACTAAGTGGTAATTTGGACAAGATGCTCTTAGATTCTGCAGATGTTTGGATGTTAGAGTAAGAATGAGGGAGAGGTCTTGCTTTTTCCCCTTAATTTTTTTCTCTTTCCTTCTCCCCTGTGTCCTGAATATTGTCTGATACATTCATTAGGATTCTAAGTGTCTCCGAGCTCTTGCTCCATTGCCCTGAGGTGCGTTCTCAGGACTGCTGCGCATGAAGCAAGACGCCACGGGAGGCTGTCGCCCCTCCGTCGTCATGGAAATGAAGTGGTGGGGATGGGGTCTGTTGAATGGATCCCATATTTTCCCTCCATGGGTGACAAGAGTCTGTGCATGTCTTTATCTGTGTTTGTAGTAAGTGCATGTGTCTTTTAGCCAGAAACAGAACTGTACTGTCCCTTAAAATGTAGCATTTTGAGAAAGAAGCATGTATTGATGATTTAAAATATACCTTCTGGTGACAGAAGGTGTTGATGTAGCCTAACAAGAACACTACTGTTTAGGTTGTAGCATTGAAAGGGCAAATAATTCACTTGTGCTGAAGGATGTTTTTAAGACAAAAGGGAGCACTGTATTTGTCTTTGTCCAACTGACTTTCAAAAGCAGAAACATTAGGTTTTAGTCTGAATGTGATCATTAGTTTGACCGTTCACTGATACCTACACTGTACTTTTTTTCCACCACGAGTTGTTAAATTGAAATGTCGAGTAACATTTCACCAATACATGAGTTTTGCTTACTAAAACATGATTCTCTTGTTTTTGTCATCTCGTTCCTTCCCACAGGTGATTGTGTACTCAGGTGACAGGGCCTTTGAACACTACTATGAACCTCTAAAAGGAAGAGTCCACTTCAACTCCCCTGACCCTAAAAACGGTGATGCCTCCATGAACATTATGGGTCTGAAAGCCACAGACACAGGAACCTATCAGTGCAAGGTGAAGAAGGTTCCTGGTATCAGCAGCAGGAAGTTCCTCCTAACCGTCATGGGTGAGTGGAAAAATATAACTTTAGCTGAAAGTGGCATTTACAAGCTTATCTCAACAACCAATCTCTAACTCTGTCTATACAAAAATGCTTGCCTTATTTGGAGTTGTTTTGAGAAACACACTCCATTCTTATTTTCTTTTCTTCTGGAAGGTGAGCTATAAAACTTAAGGGAAAGTCCTGAGTGACAATGTATTGATCTGCACCATAAATGCACAATAAAGTTTGATTTCACAGGCACTCTGACATGCCTTTCAAGGTCTGCATTGATCGATGTCAACAGCAAGTGTGACATTAGTGCTGCTTCACGTGTGAAATATCACCTGTTCCTTGTTGTGTTGACTAGCGTCAACACAGAAACGCCCTAGGCAAACATGCACGCCAAACAAGGCCATCAGAAGCACTCCCCAAACATTATGATGACAGTGACGTCACCTCCCGAAACTCAATAACCACACAACCAAGATGTGTATTTGCATTGCAGATGCATGAATAGCAATAGCTGTGAGCTGTGAGCTGTGTGTTAACAAAAAGAAACAGGAAAAAGGGAACAGGAAAAGGTTTTAATAGAGGTGAAATCCAGTATTAAATGGACCATTCACCAAGTGATCTGTGTGGTGTGCTAATATTTTTCAAAGTAGCCAAAAATATTATTTTATTTATTAGGATTAGGATTGTCAAAATTATTGGGCAATTAAAAATTAATTAATTAACAAGTTTAATAATGGAGTTTCCACAAAAATATTAATTAGCAGAACTGTTTTCATTGATAATATCAAATCAGCATATTAGTGATTTCTGTGGTTCTTTTAAATTGTAATTATTTTTAACAGTATTACTGTTTTACTGTATTTTTGATCAAATAAATGCAGCCTTATTATAAGACCCCAAACTTTTGAACATGTATTTTATATATTATTTTATCATATTATTTACCTTACTTAATGGAGTGTTCAATTGCGTTTAGTTTTTGCTATAGTATTCAGAATCTTTAAATTTCAATGGTATTGACCAAAGACAAAGTAGTGAAAGTGGTTGATTGATTGATTGATCAGTGTCAGTTCATGAACCAGTGATTGGTTAGGCAAAAGACTTTATTGGACTTAAACTCCACTAATTTATTAAAGTGAAGGACTGTTTGGCAAGAGCCGACCCGGTGTTTGGAGGTGGACCACAGTAAGACCGATGGAAGGACACAGATTGGTTGTGCTCTCAGCAGTTGATGAATGCAGCTGTTCTCTCTTCGCCTGTTCCCTTCATTGTCCACCCTCATCCTATCGCTGATGATCGCGGGGACTCTGTACCTGCATTCAGAGCAGATGCTGTCTGGCTGCGTGCGTGTGTTCCTTACTAAACGTGTCTCCATCAGAGATAGCAGTCCAAGGGCATTCACTTGAAGGGGCTGTATATGTGCTACATTGCCACCTCAGAGACACGGCTCTGCTCTAGTGATGCAGAAACGGAGAAACACAGCACTTTTAGTAGGCACAAGCAACTTTCAGCTCTTTATCTTCAAATTTGTTCTCCACCAGACAACTTTATATAGGTTTAGGTACAGTTTAGGCATGTAGTTTAAAGGGTTTACTGACATCTGCTCTATTATTTTAGTATTATTTATATACTGTTACACCGTGTCTACACCGGACGCGAGCGGCATGACGCAACAAAATACAATAGAACCTATTATGCTGTCTACACTGGATGCGGCGCGGCGCGACAAATTCCCGACAGTAAACTGCTGCTGCGTTCTATTTATGACGTACTGACACAAATTTCAAATGATTTTCAGCGGTCTCTTTGTCGTGTCCAGGGTAGACATGGTGTTATAGTTTTTGTTAATATTTTGAATTAGCTTTTATTTTTTCAGTTTATTTTATTATATTAAAATTTTATTTTTTTATTAATTTTGTGCTTTTGTAATTTTTATATATTTAAAAAATATTTTTATTTAATTTTTATATTTATTTCAGTTTGTCATTTTAGTTCTTATTTTAGTTTTTATACTTATTAGAACTTATTTTAAATTAATTGGATGCCAATGCAAGTTTTTACATCTAAATACATTTTCATCAAATTTTTTTTAATTAAGTTTTATTTTAGCTTCATTTCAGTTATTGAAAATTATTTTAATAGTTTGCTAACAATAATAACAATGCTGCTCACTTCACAAAGACTGATGTTCATTTAACAGCGCCACTGTCCTGGGATTCCCTTACTTTTTCCTGAATTTCTATTGCAAACAATAATTAAGTGGATGTTTTTCGAAATGGCAAGTTCATTATACGTTCATTGTCCCAGTAATTTTTACAGTAAATTTGTTTAAAACATTGGAATGTTTTAAAATGTTAAATTAAACATGTCTCATCATAACTTATTTCACAGACTGAATGAAGTTGTGTACAACATTTTGTTGATGCCGTCAGTACTTGCAAATGACATGCTTCTTCAAGATTGTTAACTTAGGGTGAACTATCTAGCATTCAAGGTGGAAAAAGTAAATTCATCTTTTCCCAGACAGCAGAAAATAAAACTGCTTGACCTTTTTCTTTTCACACCTTTATGCGTCTGTAGTTGCATCGGGCAGTTTGACTTTTTCATTCTTGTTTTTCTTCTCGCCTTTATGACCAGTCAAGTGTGGTCACCTCAGAATACCGACATGCTTGCCTTGGTCACACTGCTAAGCTGTAAAACAACCTCATCTTATAGAAAATGTCTAATAATAATAACAAACAGTTTTTCTCAAACTAACGGATACAGATTGTTAGTGTGTA